CAAACCTTCATAGCAAGCAATACTTGTTTAGTGTTTTCCTAAACTTTTAGATTTAACAAGCCTAACTGAGGCATGACAAAACTGTGATGTAATTCTTTTTAAAACTCTGCTTTTTATTTATTTCTTTAAAAGATTTCTTAAATTACTGGCACAATTTTATGCCTTTTTTTGTTCATTATTCTTTGTATAATAAAAAAGAATAAATCTACCATGAGAATGCCGAAGTATGTGAAATGGTTACAGGAACAGGTGACATCACTCTGACCATCAGTCCACCGAGTGAGACAGCCATCCGTACTGAAATCTGGTAAGTGAAACAAAAACAACTATTATCCATGAGATGCTGTCACCTCTTAATTATATCAGTTCACTCAGAAATCTGTAATGTTGAGTGAAACTAGAAACCCAGATGACTACAAATTTAAAACAGACATAGTTATGCTACATATTACTTTTTATGAGAGACATCATGCTTGGTTACTCACTGTTTGTTGAAAAATTAAAGAACTGACAGGAGGGTTTCTGGGTTTTCTATGGCAAAAATAAACAGACATATAATAAATAATTATTTTATATCTGTTTAGTGTTATGCGTCTATATTTTTTTATTAACTTTTATTAATAATAATAATTTACACAGACTTCCATAATATTCAGGATTATATATCTATATGCAAGAGTGGAACAAATGATGAAATTAAATTATAATTACATTTATATCCTTAAAGTTTATGGTGATGTTGACAGGATCCTGAAGACCTGATATTGGCTTGCCTGCACTCAGGATAACCAGTCTTCGATCATATGCATCATATAACACTCCCGCATCAGTCTAGAATGCAACACATACATCAGTTCATTTGAAAGTTTGTTCATAATGATTTTATGTAAGATGTTTATACAATTCTAACTGTGCAAAAGGGGAAAGCAACTCAGAGATAATGTCACACTGTTTTGAATCTGTCATTTACATCTTAGTAAAAACAAGAGGTTTTTCTTTTCCCGTGTACTACTACTCTACTCCCTAAATTCAAATTTTTCTAAATTTGTATTGCTTTACATTTTGATTTACATAATACCAAAATATCAGCTTCTTGTGCACCACTGTGTTTGAGTAACTCTTCCTCTTTTTTCAAAACATAATTCAGCCTGCATGATGTGTAACACAACCCTTAACCCATTTACTTATTTTCCTTTGTAATAATAATAAAGTAAATTATGTACAAAAATACTGAAAAGAATTCTGAATGACTGTGAACTTTCACTAATTTAAGTCGATGACGTTTGTCCTCCAATGGCTAAAAAGGCAGTGAATGATATACAATCCATCACAAAAACAATGTATGTGAATTTGCAGTTGGAGTTACGTGCAGAAATAAACTATAAACACTACAACAGTAAAAGATAAATCAGGTTTAAAAATGGTACCTGCTCACAAATCAAATAACAA